GGGGGGGGCTGGATCAAAATTCTCTCTGACCACCACCCATCTGTCCCAGGATTAAAATCTAGCAGGTCAACTATCCATAACACTAGCACCTTTGAGCCAACTGCCACTGGTCAGAGACACGTACCTGTAGGAGCAAGTAAAAGTTAACACCATTGTTTGTACAACTATTGTGAGTGTCCAAAGTACAGTGTTTTCCTCTCAAGATTGTTTGAAGCAATCTCCACTGCATACAATTTCCATGTTGGTGTTAAACCAGGCATCAGTCCCACTTCTATCAGTTAAGGAGTTAACTAATTTACATTCTCCAATTATTGTTTTCCGACTACATTTTTTATGTTAAAAAAGAATGTTACCCAATAGCATCCCCACCAACATAAAAATCCTGTACAACAGGGGTTTTCAACCTTTTTTTTGGTTGGTGTACCAAAAGGAGAAGCAGGCAGCAGAGAAGCAGGGACTCCCCCGGCAGCCAATCAAGAAGCGTATCTCCAGTTGACAACCCCTGCTGTACAACAATGGTGTAGTTGAGCAGCTCCATGTCCAGGACAGCCATGTGATGTCAGGGGAAGTGCCAACTGTTGCAGTGCTGATCATGACTATTTTTGTGCACTCAACCCCCAAAGGGAGCACCCCCACCTTTCAGTTAGGTTACTGTAGTACAAGGAGGTTTAAGTGTCACTCGGTGAACCATATCCCTCCCCTTTCAGCACTGTCACTCCAACAATTCACTAATATGGACGAAAGTCAGCTTGGAAAAATAAGAGGCAAAAAGTCAGTTCCAGTCCTGAAAAAACAGACTAAAGAGACACAGAACATCCCAGTACATCTTTCAAGGGGAGCCATCCAGCACAAAATCCAGCACCGAGCCCAATAATTTATGCTCTAGTTCAACCAAACTATTTAGTCAGTCATCAAACCAGCTATTATGTTATGCTATTAACAGTTAATGTGGAGGGATGACTGCTTGACAAAGGGACTCCGATTTCATTCCAGTAGTTAATTATTTCACTGTTACAAACTTGTACCTCATTCCCATTTAGGGTTTTTCCAGATCCAAACTACAGATAACGGTTCTTGATTATACCTTTGCCAACTGAAGGGCCTTCCATTGTCAGGAGGTAGAAGATACCAAGGCTGAGGACAAGTCATCTCATCTTCTCTTCTGTAACTTACTAGGTTTTTGCTTGCTGGGGGCCTCATTACAGCGTGCATGCATCCAACCACAATTATGCTAGCTTTTCTCCAACTTCTCTCCTGTCCCAACATAACATGCTGGTAGTGGTATAAAGTGCTATTACCACTCTAAAAATATCACATGGCAAGTCAATACTCCCCTGTTTATACATTCAAGCATCTCATTGCCCATTAGCCACAGAACCAGACGTGACGCTCACATAATATCCCAAGTTCTTTCTATAGCTGGCATCTTCCAATCCTCCCTTCCTAGGAGTAGCTTACCCTCTTTGTTCCTAGATGTAGCACCTTGCATTTCACTATATTAAAATACATTTAAATTTTGTCCTGCTTACCAAGCCACCCAGATCATTGTGTAAGTTATGTCTTTGTTTAAAAAGAGACATATCACTTGTCCATCGCCTATGATTTAATAAAATAAATAAATAAAATAAAATCTTGATTTTTATTTATTTAATATCGCTGATAATTTTGATTTATAGTGGGCTAAGAACAGATTCTTATGAAACGCTACTGGAAATACTGCAATAGTTGGGGATTCCCTCAATAAGGACACTGGGTTCACAGCTAGACTGAAAAATGTAGCCAAGACATACTACTTGCATCACAAAAATGAACAGGTCTCTGATGTACATATTGTAGGAGTGCACCAATGTTGTTCATGCTGGCATGCGACAGTCTTCAGGGTGCTTTACACTGAGGTACATCTCAGAATGTCAGTCCTTTCTAATTAGCTTATGTTAGCAACTATCATTCCCCAGGGGGTTTGAAACCAGGCATGGAGACTGACAGAAATGCATCATGGTACCTAAAAGACCACACCATCTCAGTTCTGAGTAGAGCTGGTTACATGCATAGCCAAATAAGTGCATCTTTCAAGATGTATACACATCTTACCAAAAGGTTCAGCCTGGGTCTCAAATATTTAGACCTGGAAACTCTCCACAAGGTATACACAAAAAAGCAGCCCTATGTAGGTATTCAAATTCAGGGTGTCTAGATATTGCTACGAAAAATGCCCTTATTACTCCTCCCATGCACATACCTAGACACACACACACATTTAAGAGAGAATTTCTTACTGCCTTCCCATCATAACCACATGTAATGCTCAGTTTTACAGCCCTATAGCCATGGCAATGGGTTACTAATGTGCAACTAGTAAAAATCATTTTTTCATTTACATTTCTAAGTGTTCTCATTATTAATGAGAGCTTCATCATAAAAGGAAGAGCATTTTATGACAGTTTATAAACCAGCCAGATTAAGAGCACTCAGCATAGTCTAAAACTAGTCAAGGTAACCACAGCGCTAAAAGTTCCTTGCACAATAATGAAAGACATGGGAAATTACACATGGTAAAACAGCACTTGGAATGAGGGACATATAGCAGGATTTTGCCTAACTATGCAATCCTCAGGTCCAGCTACCACAGACAACCAGGAGGAGCTCAGTGTTGGGGTGAAGGAAAGGAATCTGAACAGTGGCTAGAAGAAAGGAAAGAAGGTTCTTTGTCCCTGTATCAGTACCTGGGCTTGAGATGTACCAGAAATAGCATGACCTCCAAAAAGTGTCTAAGGCAATTCACACATCAAACACTGCTGCTGAAAAGTTTAGCAATTACTGTGATATTGTGAGAAAAGCAGCTGTACTCTCCTTAGTCTGGCCCTAAGAAGCCTATTCCAGTTCTAGATCTCATCTCCAATGCACCAAGTTTCCTCTGCTTCATATTCACCTCTAACTAAGATCAAATCACTTCCACACAAGCACAGTCTGTAATGAGGAGAGGGCTATTTCTAGACATTCAGGCCTAACTTCAAGGTACAGAGACTCCTCTTTTTCCACTGGACTTGTGAAAGCTCGTTATCTTTAGAAAAAAGCCATTGTGTCAACGCAGGACATTCAAGTAGCAACTGGCTCTAACCGGCACTCCCACAAACCTACACATTCTTTGCCTGCAGCAGGCAGGAATCCTCCCTTACTTGTGACAATTATTTCAAAGGGAAAGCACATTTTCAATCTAATCTTTACAGCCAAATGCTCGTTGAACTGGGGGCGAATGTCAGTAACAAACAACAAATAGCTCCTGGAAGATAGCTTTCTTAGCTAAACTAAACACTGAAAGTTGGAGTTCCACAAAGCTAGAGTTAAACTGGTATCTCTACTTCAAAAGTCACCTAAACAAAGGAAATTTTGCATGGTTTTTACTGTTCTCTTGTCTACAGTTACAAAAAAAAAGTGCCGTTAAGCAGTCAAGACACAGACAGTTAACAATGCTGTCTTATGATACCTATGCTATCCTTAAGTACCACATCCTGAATTCATGCAAGTATATGAACTTTTCAACAAACAAACAAACAAACAAACAAACAAACAAACAAACAAACAAACAAACAAACAAACAAACAAACAAACAAACAAACAAACAAACAAACAAACAAACAAACAAACAAACAAACAAACAAACAAACAAACAAACAAACAAACAAACAAACAAACAAACAAACAAACAAACAAACAAACAAACAAACAAACAAACAAACAAACAAACAAACAAACAAACAAACAAACAAACAAACAAACAAACAAACAAACAAACAAACAAACAAACAGTACATGGCCTTCATGATTTCAAACAGACAATCTTAACAAGAGGAAACTAAATGCTTAAAAAAAATGCCACCCACAATGACCAAGCAAAGATGATTCAAGATTTTACACTTGAGGATTAAGCTAGTCTGATAAATATTTTGAGCATTTAGTTCTGGCAATGCTAAGATTATATGGTATTATTTAAAATATATTAGAACTACTTGAAATCTGTATCTACTAAAAGGGAACCTTTCCAAAAGCTAGTGAGTCTGAATAACAGTGAACTCTGAAGACCTCAAAGCACTTTACAGGAGTGGCCAGTCACTCTCTCTCATGGGGAAATAGAAGCATGGGGAGAAGTGACTTGGTCAGGATCACCAAGTAGCAGAGGCAAGAGCACCTACATTTGTACTCTGTCCACTAGGACACACTACCTCCCAGACAAGAAAGTTCAAAGCTACCTAAGACTGCATGCTAGAAAATTAACCTGCAAGAGCTAGAAAGGACAGACAATGGAAGAGGCAAGTTCCACCAAGAGTTAAATCCCCCATTAAGCTTACAGCTCTCATCACTTCGGTAAGGAAGCCACTCAGAAGCAAACAATTCCCAGAGAGCCTGTATTCAAACCTCCCCTATTAACGTTATAATCCTCTCTCCATAGTAACAGGCAACATCATGAAGGCAAAGCCAGTTTGCCAGGTAGAAGCAAGCTCCGTTCCTCCAGGGGAAAAACACTTTAAAAAGAGATGGAAAAACACAAACTATAAATGGTGGAGAGTACACATGCAGAGAGAGGCAGCGTTCCTATAGAGTGCAACAGGGCTGAAATAAAGTTGCTATAAAAGTGACAGAATTCAATAGGAGAATGATGCAAATCAGAAGAGAACTGTACCAAGCACCTTCTTACAAACCCTTATGGAAAAAATCCTTGAGAAGTTAATATAGCATAAGAACCTTCAAAACCAATCTGCTTTTAGCCAGTGGGGGCAACACTATAAAATTCCAGCCTGTTTTTCAAGGATCATATTTCAGATGAAAGTCACTTGTCACCCCTACTAGCGGGAGACAAGGCAATTTTATTTTGTAAAGCAGAAAGAGGGAGACAGTGCCCTGGTATTTTTTGTTTGTGTCCTCAAGTGGAGTCTTAAATACAATCCAGCCTGTGATATAGACTTACTGCTCCCACCAGTCAGTCAATAGTAATGAAGCAAGAGCATGAAAGGGGAGAAAATGACAACAAGAGCTAGCTTACGTGATTTATGCATCTGCTCCACAGCAACAAGTCATTCATGTTCTGTGCACCAATTATAGAGCACTCTCCATACCTTGACCCTGGGGCATTTTGATCTGAAAAGAAGCCTCAGCCCTGACAAGCACCTTGTGGAAACCAGCTATTTAATCTCAAGCAAAGTTGTGGCCCCAGTACCAGAGTCAGGTGATAATGCCCTATTTCATGGCCCTAACTGGACTGCATTAATGATACAGTTTATCATTAACACATTTCTGTTCCATTCTCCAGAGTCCAGGCTGGGGGTCTGCAACAAAGTTGATCACTTAGCCAACCACTCTGAATCCCGGACTGAATTTTTAGCCAGCAAATCTGCATTCAGAATTTGGCAAAAAGAGGCCCATCCTAAATACTACAGGTTTTCCAGCATTCCCCGTTTCCCCATCACAAACTCAAAACAAATGGAGCTTAACTGAAGATTTCACAACACTACTGAAGGTTCAGTTCAAGAAACGGACAAAGGTTCAGGGAACTTATTTTCCAGGCCCACACCCAGAACAGGTTTGCTCAAAGCCAGAATAAATTTATTCAGTGGTTACTCAAACAGTGGGTTCTATTATTGTGGTAAAACCCTCAGTGAACCCTGCCCCTCCCAAATGAGCCAGAGAGAAAACCCGCAGCAAAGTTCATGCTAGAAAATGATGTAAGAATAAAAGCTGTGTTTTCTTAGATTGCTAATATCAATGATTCAGGAAAGTCACCCTGCATACTGAAAGGGAGGGGTGGTGGACAGAGCCTGGGCTGTGGCTTTGCTAGGGGACACAGTTAAAACAGGATATCCCCAAAGCAGCGAAGATACATGGAGATGAGAGCTCAAGCCTGCTTTGGCAATCATAGGTACAACTAACTCCTGCTATTTTGTCTCAAGTCTCACTATATTTAGTGTTTGTCTTAGAGCCTCAGCTGCTGAAACCAGGACATGGTATAAGAATCTCTGCATTTATTAAAAACAAAATTTCTAGCCCTTGTTATTTCAGGGAAGCCTTCAGAATATGGCCTGAATGCACTGTCAAAGCTCCAAACATCAGAGTGTGAATCCAGAGAACTCTAAAAAGATTAAAGATTTCCCAAGCCTTTGGTTTCCGTTAAGGTCTGCTTTTTAATCTTTCTGTGTATAGGTCCAAGCTGAGGGAGGAACACTGAAAGGTTGGAAAGAGGCTCCTCAGCACAACAGCATTAACACTGTAGATACCTCCTTGAGATCCAATTAAGGTCTTGAAAAGGGAAAAACCATCAGTGCCAGCTGGATGCAGTCATTGCCCAAAGGCTGTTTAATCTGGGCTCCTGCAAACACGTCCTCAGAATCTCCCCCCTCCTCCCACCTGCGGAAATGATGCACTCACCTTTCCCACTAAGACAAGCCCATTGTTGTGTGCTGAATTCCTCCTCTGCTGACCTAGTTCCAACATCAGAGCTGTGGAATTATTTTGGCTCTGAACCAGAATCAAAATCTACATTCCTGAGTGTCTGAACACTGAATAGTCCCACAAAAAGTTAGGTGCTGTCTAGAGTAGTTTTGTTTGTTCTTATTATTCATCTTAATTCCCAGCTCTGTCCACAAGAAATCCCCCTCTCTTCCCAGAACACTTCAGTTTTACTTAGGAAGAACTTTATTTTGCACAGATTTCAGAACAACAAAAATAGTCTCACTAAAATGCCAAGAAATAGGACCTGCAAACTTTCCACTTTTTGTGTCTGGAATTCACATCGTCTGGAGTATAATTTGCAAAGAGAAAGAACACAGAGGTATGAGTAGTATTTTGGCAAATCAGCATCAGTGACAAAATGCATGTCCTATTAAGCAGGCTCTGGGTATCATTCCTAATTGGACCTTTCAAGAATGATCCCCCCACCCTTTGCTCTCCTTAGTATTATTTCCTTTTTCAGTGAAGGGAACCTAGGATTCATCATTCTTTGAAACTGGAGATACCAAAGATATATTGCATTGAGGCTTCTGCCATTTCTTATAGCTAGTTTTGGGATCTTATGGAACCAAGGTATACCGAACAAAAAAACACTTATTGTAGAGGGAAGGAGAAAACAACACAACAATTAAAGGCTAACACATGTCCCATGTCCTGGTTTGTAGGATATTTATTACTGAGGGATAGATTTTTGTTTTTTTTGTTTTTTTCTTGAGAAGGAAACACTTCAGTCTGTACTCAAGGTACAGAGCAAGTACAGCAGAGAAACCAAAGGTTTAATGAAAAAGTCTAAAGTGCAGTGGCAAAAAATACCACTTTTGTGATGCCACCACCAATTCCAGATCAGCATGGGAGTTACTAAAGAGTATTTAAGAAGTTACCACATGAATCTCCTCTTTTAAATCATCTATTGATACAGCTACTCATTCTAAATTTTCCATCCCTTAAAATTAAACTTTCAGTGCATGAGGGTCTTTTTAGTATCATTGTCAATTTCAAGAAGACATCATGGCTGAGATCTCAACTCATCCAGGGGAGTTACAAATCCTATCCCAAGTGCCTGCCCCATTTTTCATTAAAAGTTGACATACTTAACAGAACCACCCCTACAGCTACAGTGGTAAGAACAACGGATCAGTTTATTCACTTAACGCAGGAATGGTCTCTACAAATGCACCACTAGCGCATCAGTATCTAAACCTCATCATTTCAAAAAGCCAATGTCTAACTAGAGACCCAATCCCATTAGGAAAAGCTTCAGATCTTCTTAGATTTTGGAAAAAGGTGGCAACAAAGGAGATGAGAGGTGCTAGATCCACAACTGTATTGTAATACTTTGCTGTACTTTCTACAGCTTTTCTTCCACAGGGAAACTTTGGGCTGCCTCGTAAGAAGTCAATGATGCATCGTTTGCATTCATGCCAGAGCTCCTGTCCAGTGCTGTAAGCACAGATGCAACAATTACACAATCCCTCAATTAAAGAGTTTGTCCCCAGAATCCAAACAAAAGACCTCCTCAAATCTGCTCCTAAATGCAAGTGCTCTAATCCAGCCTGCCCACTGACTTGTTCTCTCTGCAAAAGTCAGACAGAGTCTACCAGGACAGAGATGCTTTGTCACCAGCTGGTGGTAGTCACAAGGCCGAGACTTGGGCAGAACCAAAGAGGAAGTGAATTCTGCGCCAAGGAAGGGCCTGCCTCCAACGCCTTTGCAATTCACCTGTGCCTTGTTAAGGGTTTACTGGGGCACTTGGAGTCCAAGTTCATTCACGTTCCAGTCAAAAATGCTTGGTGGGTAGGGCTATGCCTTAAACTCTGTTTAGGCTGCATCAAGAACATCCCTGGGGCTCAGGAGACTATTACAGGGCTGTGGGGAAGCATCACCCCCTACTCCGTTTACACAAGGATGAAGGTGGGGTTAAGTGACATGACCAAGGCCACGGAGCAGAGAAGCTGCAGAGGAG